TACAGGCTAATGATTAGAGTGCAGTTAATATGACAATAATAGTGCTTTCTTTCTTTGCATCACAACTCCTCTTATCAAAAATAGTGCACGTTTCAGTGGTTGCAGACACATAAATAAACTGCTTTGAACCATTATGATAAATCAGAAACTCAAAACAAATACACATTTATCCAGTGATAAAGACACACATCAAACTAAAGCTTATTTCCTCATCTTTCTTTTTTCTTCAATGTTGCAGGGTTCACCCATTACTCTGGGAGATATTTCCATCCTATGGCCTTTTTGAACCTGTTGCCTATACTGTCTACTGCAAAAGAGAGCCATTTACAAGGCTAAGTTTTATCCACATTTCCCAGAAATACAAGCTGGCAGTCTTGGCTTGCACCCTTCTTTTTTACAAATCCTCTAGTCCAGGGACCACAAAATAATGCTCCAATGAGAGAGAAATTTAGGGCACGCAAATCATTTCTGGTTAATTTTGGGCCTGGTCACTGACCTGCAACCCCATGGGGAAGATTGGCAACTTCTCTTAGACAATACTGAAACAGAAAGTGGCTGCTGATGAGAAACGGTTCCACCAGGTACCTTGGGATCTTGGTGTAGCCTGCCTCAACATAAATGATGCCCAAAATACTGCAGTTCTCCAGCCAACTTTGTGCTAGTCATATTTTGGTATTTTGTAAACGCGCTGAATGTGTTCCCATTGCTACTCGTCGAATGAATCAACAGCAGATTTGCTACACAGCAAGATAACTCATCAAGATAACTCAGTCGTGCGGTGTCACGAATGGTGCTGATGGGGCATGTTCAAAGCAAAGTTTTTTCCCGAATTCAGCACTACCTCCCCGGAGGTTTGCGGGTGAAATGGGCCCTCGTTTGACTTTGGCAGGGTACAAGATAGGGTGTGCCAAGAATGAGCTGACAGTAACTGTAAAGAACACTTTCAGAGGCGAACCATTTTTTCCAAAATGTTTCCACTTTTTGACCTTGAATTTAAGGCTTGTCTACTGTCAACATAGATAACCTTTTATAAGTTAAAGGCACACGCATAAAAAATTGAAGAATACAGTATTCTGTATTGTAATTTGTGTCAGTTATTGAAAATAAAAAAGTGAATTATTTTTCAAAATGAAAATACTTCGTGTCTACTGTAGTTTTCGTAAGTGTCTGTAGTAAAAAACTGACAGAAAGGCGGAAAAGCACTATCATTTTGGAAAAGGTTTGATCAAAATAAGTGTTCAAACGCTTTGTTTATACCTAGGTGTATTGGACTGAATCTTTTGAGTTTCACTTGCACCCAACACGCCACTGTATGCTTCTAAAGCAACTTGACTGCCTTATTTTTCACGGTTAAAAGTAAAAGTTTATATTCAGCATTGATTTTCTTCAACCCTCACAGAGGCCCCCCCCCCGAACTTGTCCTCGCCCGGCTTGCGTTGAAACTTGGCATGCATGTAACGACACTCCTCATCATTACAAAATTGATGTGAAGTCTGAACTCAGACGTGGTTTTGTTATCACAGTCATTTAAAGTCCAAGGCTACAGGCGTGCCAGCCTGCGTGCGTTGAGCACCGCATGCAGTGTAAAGGGTATACTTTTTTGGCCGGGACCTGTCTCAGGAAAATGGGCGCTGCGCACGAACGAAAATTGGTCTCGATGTGACTGCAGATAGTTACTCTAAAATTTCATGAAGGCTCAGCTCCTGAAAAAATGCAGCGTTGTCGGAAAAATGTCGGGGGGGAGGTCCGCCCAGCTCTTCTGGAGTAAAGGAGTGAACAATTCCAAGGGAGTTTGGGTCCTTAAGCTTAGAATAAGTTGCAGTTTATAAAGTAAAACAGTCACTTGTTTGAGCATTTTTCAACTGTACAAATCAAAGCATGTTTTGAATCAATATCGAGATTGTGATGATCGGGCATGTAATGAGTCGGCCGTGATTTCGACACACTGCTGTCAACTACGGATATCCAGAAGTGCCTTTTCAGGAATTGTATATAGAAGTAAAGATTTAAACCCTTCTAAGCGTGGATCGAGAACCGTATCTTCTGGTGTGGTACCAAATTTTTGGGGATGTGTGGGTACAAGAAATTTGGGATTTTTAACATAACTTTTGTTGGCCTTTCTAAAATTTGTAGGCTTGTCACACTCCTCTGGAATTAACGGAACTGCCCCCCCCCCATCGCGACTCGGCGTCTCCAGAGTCTCATGGTCTTCAGGCATTAATTAACAATGGTTTCTGTATTCAGGTGAATGCAGAGTAAGGAGAGAGTTACCACGTGTTACCTTTAAACAAACTGGTGGTTGTATGCACCACTGCACACCGACAGTCATGGTATGCAATAGCTGCACGTTCTATTGAACACATAATGAACAGCCATTTTGTTTCCAAAATCTGAAACAGGCGCTACTCTGGCCGTGTCCGAAACGGGCTTCCAGAGCTACGGCTAGGTCTATCGTCTACGCGTCTCCACGCATTTCCAAGGGAGCAAAGACCTAGACCTAGCTCTAGACAAGAGATTCGGATGTTGTCTCGAGCTATAACTCTGGGTGGATGCACGTAACATCTCCTTGCATTGTTAATGTTGATCAGGGTTAATGAGGAAGTCGTTTGAGAATGTCTAGCTTATCATATCACACATCATGTAACATGCCAAGCGTGTACAATATTCTCTGTACTCTCCTTATCTAAAACATCTTGTGAAATCACCTCGAAGACGAACATGTGAACTTTCCCGACCGTGAGATAATGTCTTGCCGTGGACCGGGGCAGGGGCGAATCCAGTCGGGGGGGGGCGCAAGGTTGCCCCAACTGTTTCAGAGAAACGACACTGTCTCATTTTCTTTGAGTGAGAAGTTGGGGTGGTATTGAAGAGTCTGTTAAGAATGAAAGACATTGCCATTTTGAGTTTTTTTTTAAATCTCTGAATTACCGCCCCCGCTACAGACATACGCCCACTCAGCGCATATTCTGCATGCCGTTTTTATCCGTCCGCATAGATTGAGAGCCGAGTTTGGCCATCGGGAAGCCAAACTTTCTAACCTTTGTTGCCCGCTTTTCTGTGTTTTTCCGTTGTTTGTTGTCTTGGATTTTGACCTTGCTTATTTGCTTGTGTGTTTACGAAAGCTATTTATAGACTTAAGGATGTCTTATCTTGGAGGTGCTGACCCGTGCCACGATGCTTTCATTCAACCTGACAGCTCGAAAGAAGCTCCGTTATCGAGTGCGCAAAAAGTTCTAGTGGGTCAAAGAACTCTGTGCCTGAGAGTTACTGTTTGTATGGATCGAGTCACCATCGAGTTACCATGGAACGAGAATGGGGTCGCTCAACATGAACAGAGACAAAGCGTAATATTTGTGTGTGTAAGAACCAACTGAGGTGGCTGGAACTTGAAGGTTCAGCCTCAGGTTCGACCTCATGATCGTACAGAAAACCCCGACCGCGGAGCTCAGTATTACGTACTCCAAAGAATACGTTAAACCTGAGAAGCTGAAGCTTAGAACGTCAACATCAAACTAGTCAATAGGTTCATCCAAATTTATCATTAGTAGTGAATGCATGTCCGCGGATGGCTACCACGTCCCCAAACTCCTCTTGATTTGTAATTCGCCGCCCACACATTTTTTTGCATAAGTTGCCCCGTCAATTTATTCATCCGCCTCATAAAAAAACAGCAGAGAGCGATCGTGTGTTCAGAAAGTGGGTGGTAACGCGCGTTGCGTCTGCCTTTTTGTTCCCATTCGAAGGTCTGTCACAGTTCATGAGCGAATTCAGCGGTTTCCCATCCCATAACCTACCTACGCAATATTCAGTCTAGCCGAAAAATTGCCCATTCTGAACCACAAGTGTTCACATGTCTACATCTACGTATACGATAAGTTATAAATTAACCTAGTTTTTCGGATTGAACTTTTACAAGTGTACGAGCTTTTCTTGGGTCTGGTGCATACAAAGTGGTCGGCGTTCAAAGAACTTTGGGTGGCGATCGCAGGCGTTGCCCAAAAGCACCTAATCACGGGTGGTTTAAATGAGCAACAGAGAATCTGTGGGTATCATGCCATATCCATGTGTGAACATGCTGGACACGGGAGGACGCTTTTTTAAATAAACAACCGGCCGGTAAAGATTTATAATTTTGTGTTGATATTCTTACAAGCTTTTATGTTTCAGGTTTCAATTTTGTGCATAACAATTCCCTTCCCAGCATTCCTTGCTTCGCCATTGGCCATGCATTTTAAGCAACTTTCATAAACGTAAAACTGGAAATTAAATCGACCTGTTAAAATATCGATTTCGTACTATTCCTCTTGGATATTGTGAAAGTGTGCGCGTCAAGTTGTACAGGGTATTATACCCCTTTGTATTTGGTCCTATACTCGGACCCAGCTGTTCACGCATGCTCTATTTCCAATACCTTTTCAGGGTTGAAGAATCACGCGTTTTGCGCTGATTGTGCTAATATTCATAACATCACCTTTAAGCTCGCGCCGACCCCAACAGCAAACTTAATTTAAAATAGCAATGCGTGTTTGCTTTTGATACGATAAGGCATTAGACGCTTATTTTTAGCTCACTAATGAATGACAAGAAAATCAAAAGAACGAAATTTGTCAGAACGCAACAGTCGTCATGCATGCAAGGTGAGGATTGGACGTTTTGAACCTGATCAATATCGAGTGCGCTAACTACTAAAAAAGGAACCGTGGTGTCTTGTGGATACCCGGGAGAATCATCGCAGACGTCGAAACGAATGTTTGAGTACTAGTTTGATGCGCATAGCAACTCTCGTGACAGACCTCAAGAGGTGAGGAGGCGCAGAGAGCCCATGCGGATTGCATTACTCCTGCTCTATCCAGAAACCATCACAGAGTGCCTAGCGTTTCTCCTGGGATGGCTTTTGACTGGCAACTGTACGAGGATTTCTCTTGGAAGATCTACAGCGGCTTGGCGGCTGTCGTCTGTCTCTGTGTCTATGCGTTCCGTCGGTGGAATGCCCCGACGTTCTATCGGGGCACAGCGTCACTGACCGGCAAGACTGTGATTGTGACGGGTGAGGAGACATGTTGGCGGATTGTTTGCTCTATTGTACCCTTTTGGTCTGATAAAGGACCCCCGTCTGAAATGTGAAATAAGAATTTTAGCCATTAGACAATGAAAATAACTTTCTCCTTTATTTCGCCACCCGATATGACCGCTTAAACCTGATATGTTTGAAGTGAAACTTCTTGCAGGTTTTTCCGAAGTAAATGCATTTCTTCCATTCGTGGGTCGCAAGGGCTGATGTATGAAGTCTTCAAAATTGGGACCTCTTATGGAACATGTACTTTTCATTTCCCTCATGTTTTCAGTCGCGTTTTTGTGATCATTTTAAAGATATTTCGTGTTGTTTTGAGAACTCATTATGCGTCTTTCCGCGGACAAATACAAATCTGGGAAGCTGTATATGAAGAATACGATTCTCGCTACCCCGTAACATGCTCATCGATATGGCGATGTAGGCTGTTTGTCACTCCAGAACTCAATACGTCACCTTGAAAAAAAAAACACATTAAGCGTGACTTCAGCTACAATTTTTCATAGAATTGAACGGGGCATCAGTATGACAATTTTGGAGGTTTTTAATTTTTTTCCCCTGCTTTCTTTCACAGGTTCCAACACTGGCATAGGCTACGAGTCGGCGCTGAACTTCGCCCGGCGCGGCGGCCGGGTCATTCTGGCCTGCCGCAACCGGGCCAAGGGCGAGGAGGCGGCCGCTAAGATCAGGCAGCTCACGGGCAACGAGCAGGTGGTGTTCCGTCTGCTAGACAACGCCTGCCAGAAATCCGTGCGAGAGTTCGCAAAGGTGATACTCCGGGAAGAGGCGCGGCTCGATATACTGGTGCACAACGCCGGTACGTATGGAAGAGTTCGTGGCGGGGTTTGTCCCTCAGGTTCAGTCAGGATGATCATTTCTCTTTTTACGAGTCATGTCATAATCTCCCCTGCAGTGGCCGACTACTATAGGATTACAGAAATCTCAGGCAGCTGAAGAAATATACTACATAAAAAAGCAAAACAAAAACACGACTGTCTTTAAAAGTGATACGGCAAAATGCAAGTTTGGAAGTAAAGAGTGACATTTCGGCAAACTTTGGCCATCCGTACCAGAGAGCTGTCTATTTGACGGATTCGCAAGCTTGGGATGTTTTTCTCTTTTCCGATGGATAATAAACTGTTATCTCGTGTGTACTGCATATTCATAAATTGCGGAACAGATCACAAGCGCAAAACTTCTGCACTTCTGCGAATCTGCAATTTAATGTCACAGAGTCTCTAACCAGTTACAATTTGTCCCTCTTTCTTAGGCGTGTCCCGTTGCCATAGCAACGAGAAGACGGAATCCGGGTACGACCTCCAGTTCGGCATCAACCACCTCAACCCATTCCTCTTGACCCAGCTCCTCTTGCCGCTGCTGCGGAAGACCGCGCCCAGCCGGGTCCTGGTGGTCTCCTCCGTCGCCCACAAGATGGTCCAGAGGCTGTGCTACCTGAACACCAAGCAGGCCTGGGAGGAGACGATCGCCTACAGCACCTGCAAGCTGTGCAACATCCTCTTCGCTGCAGAGCTGGCCCGTCGGCTGAAGGGCACCGGCGTGACGGCTTACTCGCTCCACCCGGGCATGGTCGACACGCGCATCCTGCATCCACGCTCCAGCAGGTTCCACGGAAGGCTGCTTCTCCTTTTTTGCCGAAACGTCTTGAGGTATTTTCGTGCCAGTATTTCTAGCTCTGTTAATGTTTCTGACTGTCCTGTAATAACGATGTAAAGCCTCTAGCATTTTGCTTCTGACAATTTTATTTTCTTTTGGGGATTAAATATTGCACTTTATCCTTTTCAATAGTGAGCGCGTGACCTTTTTACACCGGGTGAAGCTCTTTTTTTGCTCTCTCTTCAGACCGTTCTGCATTTCACTGGAGGCCAGCGTCCAGACGACTCTGTACTGTGCCCTGGATCCGTCCGTTACGCAGCACTCGGGTCGCTATTTTGCCGACTGTAGGCTGGCCAAGGAGAGCAAGCTGGCCCGGGATGAGAAGATCGCCTCGCAGCTGTGGGACCTAAGCTGCAAGCTGACGGGTACTGAGAACTACTGATGTGCTGGTTGACGAGTGTGACTGGAAGTCATTGGCATCGTTGATTTTGGATCAAGGAAGGGCATGCACTCTGCAGTTGAGATTGAAATGAAAAACAGATGTCATGTAGAAATTTCAATGTAGGCCTACATTGTTGAACATTTCACAGTTATTTCTCCTGATAAAAATTGAGAGTGCACAGTTTCTTTCGTGCATGCAGTATTGGATCTCTGTAGATGGCAAGAATGTAGAATCTTCTAATTGGTTGGGTCACGTGACCTCGCATATATATATATATATATCCACATTTTAGAGTACCCATAATTTCATGAATGCATCAAATTGAAGCCACATTTACTTCCTGTCTCCGTTTCTCGTACAACTGTGAGAGTTCTAGTGCTGTATCCAGAACACAACCCCGCTAATGCCTATAATTTCGGAGGCGTTAGAGTGGTTGGAGTATCTTTCAAGAATTCGTTTGAGTTGGGTTCAACCTCGGTCCTTTACATTTTATACATATATCCTCGGTTCTTTGAAAATATGCAGAGCAGCTGACAACCCACAGGTCAGGGTTACCTCATAGAAGTTACTCGAACGCACCCAGTAAAAGTAACAGGAAACATGCTTCTTTCTAGAAACGGCAAGAGATTTCCTTAGCTGAACGGGGTCCAGTGTATGTAATTAAGCACAATGATCACACTCTTCGGATTCGACTTATCAGAAAGTCAACGCAACCTTTATCGCATAGTGTAAAGTTCCAGTCCAATATCACCGCACTGTAATTACGCAAATGGACAATCTGAGTTGGGCATGGCAGATAACACAATAGCACAGCATGACTTCGAAACGACGACCTACCTAAGGCTGACTCTTTCTTTTGGAGGGGGAAGCATCAACATGCGGGCCAGTGTACCCATCTAATGTTGCATCAACCAGTGTTATTCGAGAATTAAAGTTGGAATACATATTTTCTTCAGGGACTTTTGAAGAAGATAAGACAAGGCTCTTTCATGACAGTTCTTAAACGAAGTCATCAAAGAAATTGATCTTCAGAGGAATATTTAGATAATCTTTACTCTACCCCAAACCGTTTTGTATAAGTGTACATAAGAAAAAATGGGTATTTGAGATAAAGGAAAAGCACTTTCCGTGGGTGAGAGTGTAAATAAATTTCAAATCTGAGATAATTTCAGCAAACTGTAGCCTTATACGTAGCATTTAATTACATGTACGTGATTTGCACTACCTTTAGACTGCCACCAAGCTTATTGGCTGTTCGTGTAAATAACTTTCTAGCTAAAATATCTGAATTTACATCGACTATTCATGTTAATGTAATGACAGGCCATCTATTAAGGAGGTCCGCTTAAATTATTAGTTTAAGGGCGCCAAGGCAAAGGAAGAGCGGCAGGAAGAGTCCAAATGTAACTCTCTCAATTATACAGAGTTTTATCTAGGTTTGATCACAGTTAATTACAATTCAAATCCTTTATTCCTAAAATTCCTATAATCCCCCCCCATCCCTAAAATTACCCCGAATACCAGGCTGATGTGCGACCGTGGACTTGGCCTTCCAGACAGCACCTAATAATGAACAGTGTATGGAGTAAAGATCGAAAGCCTAGTGCAAATCTTATGAGTCGCTACACAAACAGCCTAAGTGCAATATGAGTAGTGGACAATATCACTTGTACATGTACGCTTCACGTGAAACTTTTACAATCAAGACGGGAAATTTTCACTCCAAATCACTCATTCTGCGTTCTGCTATGACCCCAATAATCATCAAGTCGGGTCACATACTATGGAATCATAGATTGCGAAGGTGAAAAGACTGTAAAGCAGCTACTACAATGCAAATGAGTTCGGTACAAATTTCAAAATATCAAGTTAACAAAGTTAACTAATGCAGTCATCAGTTCAGATAACACCTGAAACAAAAACAATTCAGCGTCTGACGGCACGGATTGCAATTTACAATGTCTGGTCATTGGAACCACAGGGCTTACTTTCAAGTTCAGAACAAACAATTGTTTCAAAAGTTAATTTGATACCATATAGAAAGGCAAAATGAATATCATAAACGTGAATGGGCAGTGTAATTGAAGCTCGGTAAGTGGTGTAAAAATACAAGTGGCTTCTGTGTAATGCATTGAGCAAAGCTCACTATTTTTCAATATGAACTTGAACTGCAGCCATATTTATCAACAAAAAGGTCATGCTACATTTGACCTCAACAAGTATAAACCTTGAACTAAGTTGTTCACCAGTAACTGCACAAAGGCACTATCCCGCCAAAGCAGGCAAAATCCACTGTTAAACACCATTAAACAACTTTACACAAGGTCTGGGGCTTATTAGACATGTACCATAAATAACAAAAATCATCTAAGTTAAAGCATTAGGCCAGCGACCAATGGCATATTTTACAAAGATTTGATCGCTGCGGGTACATATCATTTTTCAGTTGAGTTACTCCATGCAGAAATGAGATTGCCATCAATACGCTCTCTGTGCATGTTTGCATTTTATGCGATCAATTTGGGATCGACTGATAACTGAAAGAGGCCACATTTGAGGTTTTCTCAGGCCCATCGACATCTGAAGATGAACTGTAATCTACATCACTTTCAGTGTCATTGCCAAGCTCATTGTGTACGACTATATTTTCAACAATTTGAGATTTAAAGCTGTCCTCAATTCAAATTCTAGGGAATTATAAATCCAGTCCCAATTTAACAACAGTATAAAAAAGAAATCTTTTTCCAGATCATTTCTCACTTGCCCTTGATCATAAATCTTTTTTTCCGATTAAGTGGTGTTTCCAATGTGTAAAACAAAATCAATTGGCTTTTTTATTTCCAAAATCCTTTAAATTGAACTGAGGTTGGCGGACCGCAGAAAATTTGAATGGTTTTAAAATACAATAAACCCGAAAGTAGCTTAACATAAAGCAACAAACAACAAAAGCTTTTATTTTGCATGTTCTCTCTAAAAATCGAGTTCAACCTTAATATTTTATTTAATTTGAAATTTTCCTTGAATGCATAAAACACTTATTAGTCGCCTTCTGGCCACCTTAACCGGCCTTCCCGAACACAACTTATTTGCCATGATGTCAGTCCCCAAAAAGCAACATAACATTCTTCCTGCAGAACCTTGTGTTGTATGCAGCGCAGGCAGTAAGACAATTCATCATCCCTTGCACTCTCTACTTGGAATGTAAGACCAGCCTGGGGTGACATGGGCCACAATTAGCAGGAGGGTTTGTCTGGCGGGACTACCTTGACCCCATGCGGTCAGCCGAAGCGGGATGTACCCCTACGCGGGTAACAAGAGACACGGAGAATGGCCTGAATAACCGCAGATAGGACAGAGATAAAAATGTTTAGTGTTCAAGTTATTTTCAATGGGCACTCATTCTGTATTGTGATTTTGAGGAATACACGATCAGAGTTGGAATTGGAAGTTAAATTAATGTGACAAATGTTGGTTCATAAAATGGGAGATATTTGTGTTAATTAAACAAAAGATGTCGCTGCGATGTTTATCTTTTATCATGCCATGATTACACAAACGCTTTATCGGTCAGTTTCCAACGAATCACTAGCTAGTTTCCTCGTGTGTAGTTTCCTTGTCACGTAAATGCTAGCCTGAAACTCTGGAAACTGGTCTCCACGTTTCCGGAATCCATTTCTGAGGGACTTTGCTCGACAGATTAACGAAGAAGAGAAACGATTAGATATTCTTGTAAACAATGCAGGTATTCTGTTTTTCTGTGTTTTATTTAAGGGAACACTTTGAAAATCCAGCGTTGGGCAACGCAAGTTACTATGGCCAACCATGACAGAACGTTGAAGCAGACCGTACGCATCCTTCAAGAATTCTCCAATGATATAACATGTACATGTGCATAAACCCTTTTCTGCTTGAAAAGTTTGACATCTCGCGTATCAGGTATCGCCTTTGCCTTGAATGGATCCACTACTGCGGACAATAAGATGCATTTCATAATTTTGTTTTTTGATATGAGGCATTTTAACACTTCGAGATTGATTCTTTTGGTTTTGTGCTCATGGCCAGCCTTGCTTATGCCAACCACTGTTTGGCAAAACCGCGCTCATGAAGTAGGCCTAATCAAAAGCAAGGTCTATGGGGCGCTATCACTGACCCACGTGACACAACGTACAAGCGCCATTGTAGTCGAAGCCTAGACCGAGGTATTTCAGTACACGTAAACGTACAGGGTGTCCACATAAAAAGTATACCGAGATAAAAAATTACTGCAATGGCAAGATTATTTTATATGTGGGAAAGAAAAATGTATCTCTAGAGAGGGCGGAATGTCCTCTTTGCAATGGTAAACAGCTTGTGATGTTGTTGACAAAGATAAGTGAACAAACTAGACTTTCTAGAGATATATTTCTCTTTCCCATATATGAAGTAGTTTTGCCATTTCAATATTTTTTTATTTACCTCTCTTAAAGCCATATCACCCTGTGGGAACTTACTTAAAAAGGGACACAATCAAGCATTCGCACCAGACGAGGGGCGGGAGACGCCCAAAAATTCGTATTTAAGTAAGTTCCCACAGGGTGATATGGCTTTAACTTTTAAGAGAGGTAAATAAGTTGTCAGGAAAATCAAGTACAAGGTCAGGAACATCATAAAGTGTGTCGATATTAATTTGTTTTTCTATCTCGGTATACTATTTATGTGGAGACCCTGTATATTAACCGGAAATTGGGCAAGCCTTTAAAGTCCTGTGAAAGGCAAAGATATGACAAAACGCACCCCGTACTTCACCAGAAGGATGTAAAACAACTGTATAGGCAGCATGGGTGTAAATCCCAAGGGATTGGGGTTTATATATCCCCCCCACACACACACACACACACCCACACTTGTTGAGGTTTAGGATGGGCCATTGAATTATCCCCACACACTTTTTGCGGAGAGCAAAAAATTAAAGCGGATTTGGAAGAATTGTTCAGACGTCCATCGACTAAAAAACAAAGAGCCATAAATATGCCATCCTCAATACATAATCACAGATTTATATCAATATCATGGACATCAACCTCTATAAATTATAGAGTAATATGGTGTCACCCCCTCCCAATTTTTAAATTTTCATGGCCGGCTAGTCATCCCCCACCTTTCCCCGTCTATACCCCCCCCCCATTTCTAGCGCAAATTTACGCCACTAATAGACAGAAGTACTACTGATGACCTTTTACGAATGTCAGCAATTGCGCAGCCCAGAGCTGTACACAGAGAGTTGCGCCAGCTCTGGACTTTGGAACCAAAATGGCTGTTCATTAATATAGGTATGCAGCACAGCAAGTTGCTCTTGGGTACTAATTGTCCTTGTGCAATGACTCATGATCCACCATTTTTGGTTACAATAAACACCTCTGCCTGAGCCATATGAAGAGCGCCGTCTGTTGTCTAATACATTTATGCATATGACCACTTTAAACATTGCCTCCATTAAACAGATGCATAAGGACCTTAGCGGAGGGTTAATATGAAATATTTGGATTCCTGCCTCGTGCAGCATGGTACAGTGACGTACTGGCATGCATGTTTTTTCATAAGCATACTGATGAAAGACGTATTCATCGGAAATAAAAGCTGCAGTTTTTTAACATCAAAGCCTCTTGATGAATGTTGAATTTTCTTTTCCTCTGAGAAAGTAATTGTTTATGAAACTAATGAACACGTGCAAGTTGCGACCGATTCCCGTGTAAATTTAAGGTCTACCTTTGTGCATTGGGCGTGCGCATTAATTCATATGCTAGAAAAAAATCCCACTATCTCTTCCTACCATCCCACGGGGAGGCCAATGTGGAACTGGTATTTTTGTCTGGAGGGGGTTAGGCTGGGCGTGTCCAGGATCCCCCCTGAGGAGCTCTGCCGGGGAAGGCAAAGCATTTATCACCAGCAAACTTAATCATTAACAGTGGAACGGAGTCAATTCTGACGTACTTTCAAAGGATGAAAAGTATGCCATGGGGGGGGGACACGGACAAAGGTCAAGCTAAAAAAGGGGGAGGGGACAATAGGAAAAATCCCTGGAAGCCGCCAATGATGGCCTGCCAAAATATCACGGAAGACCTTTAAGAAAAATTAAGTAGGCCTATATGCATCTTATCAGTTGACTGCATGCCCGCCACACCCTTCCCTATTTTCTCCTCTTTATCCCGCAACAAGTCCCATAGAACCTGTGCAAAATAGAGGCAGACCTGCATATATTGCCCCATGGCACTTCTGATCTGTTTGTCCTTGTCACTCGACTTTGATTAGTGGCCCCAGATTTACTGTGATAATGCACGTTATGTATATTTTTGTCGAGCACAATGGAAGACGCTTACCACGACAAGTAAAGTGTCCTTTATAGCACACCATCTTTTACTGCACAATACGCAGTTATTCAAATTTCATGCATGACAGGCCCTGTCAACTCCATCGCGGGTTGAAAATCACGCACGAATCTATGGTTATGTGGCTGCAGACACTTCGCATCAAATTTGTAATAGTCCTGTGTCGTGATGACGAATATGTCCGGGGGGGGGTCGTCTCGTGCCTCGAGTGCCAAAATTGGCCCACGTACCATGTATGGTATACGTGAGAGTTACACTCGATCCAAAGAAAGTATCTCAGTATTTCCAGTTTTGTAAGATTAATGATCTCCCAAAGATTTAAAACGATGTGATTTACTCAAAACAACTGCCTTTTGTGAATGGAGACAATCGCATATGCTTCTGATATAGGAGAGTATAAAGTGGTGACCCCATTCGGTCCAACAATGCGCGGCGGAAAACAAAGAGAACATCCGTAAATAGGTCTGTTGCAAGCCACGGCCAAAAGTGCATGTGTAATCCAGACACGGCCACATCTACCCTTGCACTTGAACTGCACCTAAAATGGTGTCTGTGCGGGCCTTCCTGCGATACTCGGTCCCAATTGTTGTGGCCCTGTACGGCGTGTATTACTGGTACATGTTTTCCAGTCGCAAATACTTTACGGGCGATGTCACGCTAGAAGGAAAGACGGCAATTGTAACAGGTACGCTGCTCCTCTTTTTAACTAAAATTTGTACCCATAGCTGAATTAACTTATACAGCCCCATCGCAATAGCATCGAGCGTCAGGGGCCAGTAGCAGCAATGGGGCACATCGGAAGAACAATGCGTAAAAGCCAGAGTTTCTCTTAGGAAAGAGATCGCTGAGCAGCAAAGTTCTTGGCGGAAGCAAGCGATAGTTCCTTCTTTTCGGAGTGCTTTAAGAGAGGGTAAATTTATGACCGAGTTCTTCGGGATAATTTGTGTACTGTGATCCTAGGATAGTACGTGGGGCTCGTTTCTGTACGTTTTTTTTTTTTTTAGCTTAGATGATTAGTCCTTGGTGATAATTACGTTCTACACAGGAGCTGCGTAACATAAGTGTTGATAGTGAAGAAGTGAATTCGCGGGAGAGCAAAATTTTACAAGAGGCCTAATATGTAGAGCTTGCGATCGGTATCCTTCAAGATTTCCGATACATGAGAATTCCACATGTCATTTTGAATAAGCTCACCTCGGATTTTGACACATTTAAATAAAGACATCAATCCCCATGATCACGGGCAGGGGAGGTGGTGGATTTCGTACAAAGAAAAACTCCGTGGTCTGACATTTCTTTGGATTCAGATTCATGGTGTTGGCACGCGACCAATCACAGGGGTCGTCGACGAATCGCTGCCCACGCTCTGTACGAGTGTGAAGTCGCCCTCGTACTTGATAGCTAGCAGGGAAATCTCATCGACCGAGGTTCTCGCAAACATCGTTGATCACAGCCAGATAGATCACCGGACTAAGCGTTGTTCCTTGAGGTGCACGGCCATTGGGTATTGTCCATCCAGAGAGATGTCTGTAGCGGATACTGTTGTCTGTTACTAAGGAAATCAGCCATTAATTCTACCACACTCGGTGTTAAATATCATGATGATAAACATGCTCTGAAAACTATGCGAGAACACACTGACGTGATCAAGATTCGGCCTCTGTCAAATTCAATTAATGTGAAGGTAGTCTGGTTCTCAGACCTGACAACTTCTTGACGTGTATAACTGTCATACAGTCACAGACGAAAAAAACAGGCCGCTGTTGGAATGAAGGGCATGTGCACGCAGGCGAATGATAATGCAGAGGTACACGACTGTAATAAGGGTCTTTTGTTGTAGACAAATCCGAGGAGACGCCATTCCTGTAGGGTCATTACGCTCGCGCTTATGTCTAAACGTGAGCGTGGCAAATCACGACACACGGTTGGTCGGAGAGGAAGGTAACGCGCGTGTACCACCTGCATGCGAACAAGATGCCCTTGCGATGTCTACCCGGTTCGTAAGTGACTTCACTATACACGCGCACGCACCACTGATTGTAAGCTTCCATTGGATGAGCAGTCAAGTTGGGCGTTAACTTCCAGTTCCGTGGTTCCATGTATCTCTTGTGGTTTAAACTGAAGTGACGTCACACTTACGAATCGGATAGATTTGGTGCTTGGCTGGTTTTAATAAATTTTTGTTTGGTTAAATCGAGTGCTGACACTTGGCACAGGCTGCGGAAAAGACTGTCTGTGACAACATTCGGCAAAACCCAAGGGTTGAGCTAAAGTCTGGGGCTTTATACACGCTGTTTGAAGGAAGGAAAAGGAGATAGACAAATCACCCGATTATCATTATTTAAGATCAAAACAAAACAAAAAGGCGAACAAACCCAAGCTGGTGGGGAGGGGGAGTTAAACAAGATCGAACTTAAACAACAATCTGCGTCATGTTTGAAAAAACGCAATAAAACCCGTTTTCCATATTATTACGTATCGCTCTGATCGGCGTCTCGATATGGCAACAAGACTGTCGTAAGGTATGGTAACTATTTGAAGTTTGCTTAACGTCATTTCTAGTTTCCCTCTATGATGACTTGAAAATTGTCTACTCAAGGAGGAAATGCAGGTATAGGCAGGGTGACAGCCTTTGACTTTGCCCAGCGAGGCGCCCGGGTCATCCTGGCCTGTCGCAATCTCCAGAAGGCCCTGGATGCCGCCGAAGATATCAAGTCACGCACGGGGAACTCGAAGGTTGTGGTGCGCCACCTGGATCTAGCCAGCCTGCAGTCCGTCCGGATGTTCGCAAGCAAGATCATCGAAAGTGAAGACAGACTGGACATACTCATAAACAATGCAGGTTATTCACCATCTGTGCCCGGATTTATTTGTTCCTGTTTGCTTGATTTGTTTTAAAGTTATAGGATGTGACTTTATTCATTTGTTTATTTAATAATAGGACCGTATCCAATTGATATTTTGATGGCAACTGGTATTTTACATGCAAAATGTTTACATGCAGGGGTTGCACAAGAGCAGGCACCTGGTGTTTCAACAACTTCGGACAACTTTGATTTTGTCTTCGGTGTCAACCACTTCGGCCACTTTCTCCTCACCAACCTCCTCCTGGACCTGCTGAGGAAAAGCGCCCCCAGCAGGGTAATCACCGTCTCGTCCGTGCTGCACGCCTACTCACCTGGCCTGAACCTGACGAGGGCGGACCCGGATGTGGCCGGTTTCTTGTATCCCCACCTGAAAGCCTACAACCCCAGCAAGCTGGCCAACGTGCTCTTCGCCCGGGAGTTGGCGAGACGTGGGGCTTCCAATGGAGTGGTGTCTGCCTCTCTCCACCCTGGTGTCGTCTTCACGTCCCTTTACAAGACTCACATGTTGGCCGAATCCAGATTTAAAGCTGTTATGTACTACGTATTTTCTCCTTTGATGTGGTAATTGTTTTAATGATTGCCCCGTCTTACTATAGTGCAGATTATACGGTTACCCATCACATAATGTTCTATTCATGGTACAATGAGAAACAGTCTGGTATATAATTTTATTGCCGATAAAACCGATAAGTAATCAGTTGAACTATACTCACTAGGTAGTCGTATTTTCCCAGGTTGCTCTTCATTGATGAGGAGGCTGGTGCCCAGACCACCCTCCACTGCGCCTTAGACGACTCGATTCCAGACCTGTCAGGGAGCTACTTTGACAACTGTCAGGAGACACCACCTTCAGCACTCGCTCTAGACGATGACCTGGCCCGGAGATTGTGGGAAGTCAGCTGCAAAGCAACTGGACTGAACTGTTAAAAAAGTCTTCTGGTATTGCGGGATGTGCAAAGGTATAGCTTTTATTCTTCAATAACCAAAACACTCCGGAATGGATTAACTTTTTCTCCTTTTGGATACAGTGCTACAACGTGGAACTGTTTTCGAAAAGGGGCAGCGTTTTTCAGTTGAACTGGACTTTCAACAAAATTTCAATCAAAGTAATATATGATTTGATTCTATATGCGTGCGAAACTAATTAGAATTGGAGTTTCGAGGACTAGGGACTCAGGTCGAACTAATTTAAATAAAGGATGCATTTTGAATTATGTTTACATATACAAAGATTTAGGTTTACTACAAAGGAATATCAAATGACAAATAAATTTGGCCTCATTTAAATTAAAAATCACTTATATTCTCATCAAAATACTAGACTTCGGATAAGCTCCGAGTTTCCCTATGATCATGACCTAATAGTGACGGGAATCCGTTCCATGGGTTTATAACCCAAGCCTAAACTTTGCATGCAATAAGCAATAACTCTATACAGCTCTTAATTGTTTGACACGTAGACTCCGTAATGTCATGACCAGTGATTTGATAGTGATTTGGCCTTAATTGAGATGATTCCTATGTTGAAGCTTGTGCACTGGTCGCAGTTTCTGCTAGTGTCAAATTTGTCTTTTATGTAACATGTCGTTCTAGTTACTGATGTGTGATGGTGTTTTAATTCATCTATGAAAAAATTTTTCTTTCTTTAAACAATTTTATGCATAAATCGGTAATAAATAATTTTACAAGTTTCCTTTCACCACAAAGTTTCCAACCTTGTTTTTGTCGCTACACGTGTTAATCACTGTATTGTAGTGTGTCTGTAATTTTTTCTAATGGTAACCACACCTTTTGAAATTGTATCTCCAATGTAAATTAAGATACCCAAGGGCTCATATGTTTGAAAAATAAAAATTGTTTCTATTCTCTTTTTATTCGACATGAAATTAAGTCTCATTCGATTATATACAAGCCTGTGATGACAATGCATCTATTTTTGACGTTCCATGTCCTGCTTCACTCGCATTTCGGAAGCTTAGCATTGTCTGTTGAAAGTCTCCGCCGGTATTTCCAATAAACTTTTTGTTTGACGGAGTACTCGCCAACCTGTGTTAATTTGAATGCAGTGGGGCCCGGTTTGAATCGCAACCATTTTGTCGACCACCTTGATAGATTTCCCTTGATAACCAATGCACAAAAACTAACACTGGGTACTAGACAAATAGACCTTGAAGTAGTTGACATGTGGTCGCTGATCGAACTTGGCCTTAAAAACAAACACCAGCTAGTCTAGCAACGGACTCCCCTGTTTATCTTTACCCCGTGCGTTTGCTACGGTGATCAGGAAACCGGGATCTAATTTACAAATTGCCTAAAGTCATTGATTTGCGGTACTTACATTCGGTACGTAAACCGCAATGTTTCATTTTCTGTTATGAAATGACTTGTTTTCCTTGAAGAGCTATAAGACTATACGATATACATCAAAGTCCGGTATGCCCGTAAATCTCGCCGACTTTTCTTTTCAAAGTAAATTTCCACGCTCTGTCGAATGCATAATTTTTTTTAGACGGGAGATGTAGGCCTACATATGTAGGGAAATTGGAACATGATAATTCGTGTTCGTTCAGTCTGGAATCCAAGGACGAACGAGCTGTCTATGTCGGGGGCACGTATTTCATCGTTGTAGGAGAGTGTGACGTGCTTAGCTGGATATCTCTTCCTCGGTGCAAATGTCGTCATGAGATTTCAGCTTCTGGTGGACCCGATTTATCCATATTTGGATTTTCTCGCTGTGCCATATTTTCGTAAACCACTCATAGAAGTTACCTGTCACACAGTGTCCGAATTTCAGACGGGTTATACACTTGCTTTTTACTTTATCAGTGATGCGCTTCGTGTCTTGTGGAAGATTTGAACTGATGTGTTTGTGGCCACCACCAGATAGCCAGTGCGGGGCATGAGTGTAATGCCAGCGGGAAATTTACATTCTGGTATAACGCAGCCCAAGCTACTGCCCTCAGAACTGAACATGTAAATTCCGCCGGAGAGCCAACCGTGCACGGCGACGTAGACGCTGCCATCCCTGGCGCAGCACACACCGGTGGGGCCCCACGTCCCGTGCATGTCGCAAGGGATGTCTACCGAGAACACCTTGCGGCCGATGTAGTCTACCGACAGCAACCTCCTGCTCTCAAAATTGGTGTAGATGAACCGTTGACCGCGGATGGCCAAGTGAGAGTCGATCTTCTTCGCGGGGAGAGTCCGGACGAGGGACCCGTCCGGGTTGTGAATGGAAATCTCCTCCGTTTTCTCGTATCCGATCGCTATGAGGTTGCTGTCATCCACCGCCAGGCACGTCGGGGTGCTGCTCGGACCTCCGCCGGGATTGAACTTGTGGAGGAGGCGTTGCTCCCTGTTGAAGACCTTGACCAGAAGCTTGTCGAGAAGGACAAGGTGGTCGTCCTTGTTGACTGCCACGCAACTGGGATTCTCAAGACCTTTCATGCGCAGTCCTTCGGGTCTTGTGGGTGATTGTAGTTTGTGAGAAATTAAGAGTCTGTGCCCTGCGTCCGTCACAATTATTTCGTCGTTCGAGAACGCCGCAACGCAAAAGGTGCGCCGAAATTTGGTTTGTTTCTGACCAAATTTGGTAATCTGTTCCTTCAGATACCATTTCACTTGTGGGTCCCCTTCCACACGAGGTGGTACGGGCGGTGTTTGAGTTTCTAGCTCTGATGCCAGCCCACCCTTAAACAGTGGTGTGCTCAGTGACGCGTAACCGCCCTCAAAACCCAGCAAAGACAGACTACTGGGTGGCTTTTTCGGACATGTCTTGGTCAGCTCTTGGAGGTTGTGCAGAAGTTTCTGCCTGAGGTAGATTATTTCACAGCAGCTTGCTTGATCGATCAGCCGGTGGACCTCGTCCAACTTCTGTCCAACCTCACTCATCTTTTTCTTGTTTGTTGCTAGGGCATTACCCAATACATCGGCTTTGTCTCGGTAGATCTTCTCCAACTCCTGATTGAGCTTCTCTTCAACTCCTCTAATCTTGGCAACCTCTTCATCGGCCTTTCTGGAAATTTTCCGCCCAGTGTCCTCATAGTTGGCCTCCAGATCCCGTTTAGACTTGTCTATCTCTTCGATGGTAGCACGGAAATCTGTCTTGCGTTGTTCAGCGATCACAGCCAGCGACGCGACGTCCTGTTTGCATTTTTGTGAAGCCTCGGCCAGGCCCACGAGCGAGTGCTCTGGTTTGGTGTGATCCACAATGCAGCACGTCGTGCAGACCAACTCCTCGCATGTATTGCAGTAAAAGCACAGCTTCTGATCCGGGTGTGTGCGGCATTTGCGAGTCTCTCTCAGCCTGCTCTTGTAGGTGATTTCTCCCGATCGGAGTTGCGCCAGGGCGTGCACTTGATGGGATTTCATCATTACCATGCGCCCGTGCGCCAGTCGACATTCTCGGCAGAGGAAATGATCACAGTCTATGCACATGGCCTCTGCTGGGTTCTCTTCCTCACACGCTTGACACGTGATCTCCGCTCCCTGATCCTCCAGAAGTTTTTCCTGAATCGTCACCTCCTCTACCAAAGCACTTAGCGTGAAATTATCGGGCAGTTCTCTGACATCGTTGGTCGTAGTCTCTCGCCTACACAGGGGACATTTCAGCGTCGAGCCGGGACGCTGCGACAGGCTCTCCCGGGCCAAAAGTTGCACAAGGCAATTGGAGCAAAAACTGTGAAGACAGTCCAGTACTTTCGGCTGACTGAAACGGTTGGTGCAGATGGAGCATTCCAGATGATCTGTACTAATTTTCTCCAATAGCGACTGGGCTGAGATGCTCTGCGCCATGTTGACAATGCTGGTCTAGCCTATAACATTAACAGTGAAAAAAACCAAACTACAGTTTTGTCAACACTATACAGTATCGCCAAGCCCCCAGCATGCAGGCACGGAATGCCAAACACGCGTGAATGGATCCACATGCCTGACAATAGTACTGTTGACCTGTTTTATTGAACTCGAATCATATGAAAAATCAATCACTGCACGTGGGTAAGCTGCACTCCGACCACAAAGAGTCACAATGCAAAAACACGCGTGAATAGCAAATATCTAGCAAGGATCCTTTAAACAAGAGAGACTGATCGTAGCAACATTGGCATTCATCACTTTGATGACAAAGAGCAGCTTTTACATCTGTCTTGTGCGCGAACTGATTAAAAATGCACCCGATGATAGCAGGTTTTGTTGGGTCGCCATTCTATATTTATCAAGCGACAAAAGTTAAGGAGAGGCAACAGTAAAGAACTTAGTCTCACGTAGATGCTCTTGGAAAAAAACGCCTGCCATATACAATCATGATATTGTTTTAAAACAGTATTGTGTAAACCTCCTCGGGGTGAGGGGGTTTGTTCCCCAAATGGTGAAATGAAACAATAACATAACATAACAAATAATTTCCCACACGTTCGTACCTGATTAATATCGGCGGGGCCTTTTACATGGTCGAATCCAGTGCTTCCTTTTGCAGAATGAAACTACACTTGCAACGATGGAGCATAAAAAACTTTGTGGCTCATTGAGAGACCAAAGTTCGTGCTGTTGTATAAATATGCTTTCGGTTCATATGGTGATGGGCTTACACTGCAAACAGCATTTAAGGAACTTTCTGACACTCGTGACGAGGAAGTGGTAAAATATTAATGCGAAAATGCATGACTGCGGACGTATTCGAATACTTCTCTGATATTTGAAAAGGTGGCTTAAATTGAATTCAATCTGACATTCTATGAACTGCAATTTTAGAAGCGAATTATTAAGAATAGTGTCAACTCACGACAAATTTAAGTTTGTTTAAGAGAAGTTTAAGAGACGAGTTTAAGAGAAAACGAGGCTGATAGTGTTGGTTTCGTTTATTGGAGTGATAACAAATAAACACAAACAAACGAACACTGGTGGGAAATCGGATAAGGAGAGATATTTATGCTTTTCCTTAATAATTATGACAGCAATGATACATCTTATACGTTCGTTACCGGAAGTCCTAATCCATTCACGCAGTCAGAGGTCTGCTTCTTATTGCAAACTAGCATTTTACCCCCGATTGAAATAAATAATACAAATTGTGCAAAATGAAAACGAAAGTAAGATATTACTGAGTTCATGTAGGAATATGTTTGTGTTTGTAACACGTCATTCAGTGCTTTCATTTTCCGTTTTCCAGTCTTTGTATTAAAAATACAGTCCCACTTTTTGCATCTATGATTCATTAGCTGTCACTAATTTGCTATTCACTTCTCCAACCTGTTGCATTCCGCCATTCCGTAACTCTTGAACTGTATGCTTCTGCTTTCATCTCAATGTGGGCTAGAAGTCCAAACTTCATGTGCCCTCCCGTCAGCGTGTTTTTTTTTCAATCACACAGCATCCGTCTGGGGATGCTATGCACCACTTACTTTAGGAAATGGTCCTCGCTTAGGATTTAGTTTGGCTTGAGTGGGCTGTGGGCTATATAGCTTCTCCCAAAAAATTGATACAACTGTGGAATGCGTGGAAGTATACATGAAAGTTTGTACAATGCATGTGCAGTACAAAATTTAAGAGGATTATTGTAAGAGAGATTACTTATAGCATATTTATTCACACCAATTATTAATAACAGTGATGTAAAACGATCTATTCTAGTACCGGTTGATTTACTAGGATAATACGTCACTGAAAAGAGATGTTAATGTATGACGACAAATTTATTCATTTTCTTAAAAAAATAAAAGCAGTTCTATACATATTGTTTTTTTAGTGTGGGACGCAAACTCACTGTTGAGTAGCAGCTTTCTTAGAAATGATTTGTACAATAAATTTTGACTTTTGCCCTGAAGCATCAGTAATAGAATTTAATTCATGTTATTATCAATAATTAAAATCAAAAATGTTTATTTCATGACAAACTCCACTGTCTTGATGACTACTCTGCAAAAATTGTGTTGAAAACATTCAAGACACTTTCTTGCTATAAATTTGTAAACGTGTTTAAATTCAGATAAGTTTACATTATTGATGGACAGTGTTTAGCATTTGAACACTGGCGTTTAGGAATTGGCAACGCAATGCAGCTTCTGTGTTAAGTTCTTAGCCAAAACATGGCCTATACACGCTTAATTTAATCGATTTCATATGCCTCTCTAAATGCAAAAGAGTGAAAACTCACCCTAAAACGTGAATACCTTATTAAACCACTCTAAAACGAGTGAAAACCACTCCATGGCGGAGTGAAATTGAGCCATATAAAGGACGATTCGAAAAAAAGATGTCGTTTATATGGCTCCTCTTTAAAAATGATTATCATGCTCTTATAGAGTGGTTTTTCATTCGTTTGGAGTGGTGTTTCACTCTTTTTGGGTGGATTTATGAGGGACTCACTCTATTTAAGAATGAGTTTTTCATTCTTGCCTTTACAGAGCTTTCGATCATGCATTGGCTTTCGTTTCTCTATACTGGCTATTCCCTCGATTCTTGACTTGATTCTTGACTCGTTTAATGGGTCGGCCATATTGAAATGGAAAGCGAGGTTAACTCTTCAATTTGTTTTAAAGCTGAGAGTAGAAATGAGAGCAATAACATGAAATTCATATCAAATTAGTACCTGTCTACTCTGATGAACAATTCCAAATTTGTGATTAAACATACGTTAGTGTTTCAGCCAGATTTATAAAACTATTGAAAGGGAGGCTTGGAATGCAAGCAATCATAAAACAGTCTGATGCCATCCTCATCAGCATTTCACCATTTATCACACAGATTCAGGGATTAATGTCGGAAATGAATGCCACGTGAATAAGGTCCATTGCTCTGTTCATAAACGCTGATAGATGTAGGCAGAACGTAACGCAGCAATTGCCAGATAGTCTCCATCAGGCGTGATTGTGATACCCCGGGGTGAGCCGCATCCCGTGACTACGCAATCAATGTGCTCGCCTTCCTCACTAAAACGGTGAATCTCGCCCCCCGTTGATCCATTGTTGAGAGCGACGTAGATGTCCCCATTCTTGTCGCAACACACTCCGGCCGGACCCAAGCCTGAGGAAGAAGCACTGCTGGGAATATCCTCCGCGAAGACCGTCTCCCCTTCGCTGTCGATCGACCGTAACTTTCGCTCCCTCCAGTTAGTGTAGATCCAGCGCTGCTTGTAGCTTGCTAAGTGCTCACTGATCCTGGGAGCAGATAGCGTGTCGAGTATGGATCCATCCGGAGTGTACAAAAGAAGTTCCTGGCGGTAGTTACATCCTACTCCTATCTGGTTGTTGTTATTCACCGCAATACACGATGCGGGTCGCTGCTCTGGTTCGAACTCATGGAGGAGCTTGAGGTCCCTACTGAAAATCTTGACCTCTGTAGGCTTCTCGTTATCCTCTGGATAATTGAGGACAATGAGTTGGCCATACTTGTTCACCGCCACTCGCCTGGGCCTTGTAAGATCTTCGACTTCGAGTGTGCAAGCCGGAGATTTAACCTTACCTCTGTCTAAAATCTGAATCAGCTCTTTCTTGCCGTAATGAACTGCAACTACTTCATTGTTAGAGAATGCCGCGACGTGAAAAATGGTTGAAAATGAGTTGTTCCTTTTCATTCCCATAAACAATTCATCTACGGTCTCGATTTCTGCCTTCAGTTGCCACGTTCCATTTCGACGTTCGATCTCTGACGGTGATGACCACCGACCTTCCAGCAGCTCTTCCTGCTTTGCGAACTCCTCCACGAGTGAACTCAGTGTGAAATTACTGGGCAGACTCGTCACGTCATTTTCCATCAGCTTGGTGTCCTGCCTGCAGAGTGGGCATGTGAGGTTCTTGCCGTAAAAAATCTGACCCCTTCTGAGCTTGGTCAGACACGTCAGGCAGAAACTGTGCCCACAATTCAGCAATTTGGGATCGTTGAAACGGTTGGAGCAGATGGTGCACTCCAGGTGTTCTTCACTGATTTTCGCCAAAACATCGCCGATTTTCGAAAGGTTTTCGAATTCAGGCAGTTCTGTAATACATTCTACGACGTCTGTTTTCTCCTTTGGGCACGATAGAGATGATGAAGATGAACTCTGACCTTCCAGCAGCTCTTCCTGCTTTGCGAACTCCTCCACCAGAGAATTCAATGTGAAGTTATTGGGCAACTCAGCCACGTCGTTCTCTTTCAGCTTGGTGTCCTGCCGACAAAGGGGGCATTTCAGAGTCTGCCTGTAAGGGGCCCTTTCCTTCTTAAGCTGGGTCAGGCATGACAGGCAGAAACTGTGCCGGCAGTCGAGGATTTTGGGCTCGATGAATCGGTTACAGCAGATGGTACATTCGAGGTGCCCTTCACTGATGGCGGTCAATACTGATTTGACCGTCAGAACGGTCCGCCGCGATGCCATTTCCCCGTATTATGCGTCAGCCGCCAAAGATCTGTGAAACCCAAAACAGAATCATTCTCCGTCACTTGTCTGGTCAAGATACCCCAACTTGAACTTTCGACCTTCATAGTTGCAAGCTCTTTTGAATTTTAATGGTACGCTCGATTAAAGGTACACGCAATGAATGTTTCAACTACGCACTTTCTTGTATAATTTTATACCTCCTTTTCGATGTATATATGAAAACCATTTAGCATCTTCTAGAGCTTATTAGGTGTACTATATGCGTACACCCTTTTTAACTTTAAAGGGTACTGCCCTTTTGGTTTTTATGCTAAAGAATATTTCCATAGTCATCAGCAAAACTGTGACGTCACCCAGGGAGAAAGCCTCAATGTTACATTGGTTTGTACATAGACATGTCCTGCATCTTCATAGATTTTGCCGGATTAAATGTCCTCTACCTACTGGTTCACGGTTGTGTATATGCACCACAACAAGCAAGCGTCTATCCCTTTCTCAGAAATGTTTTCAGTTAGTAAATTCTTGGTTCACAATTTGATCACAAAACTATGTCTTCCCCGGATGATATCACAGCAACAGCGCCCTCAGTTGTCCAGGAAAGCATAGATAATTCTACATGTTTAAAAAAGAGGACTTTTCAATGCATTAACCAAACAGGAAAGGAAAAGTCTCTTCATACATTGTAGGAAAGTACAAAGTTGAAGAAAAAACTGGTATCTAACAAAAATTCATTGCAGCTACACTTTAAAGTTGTCTGTGCTTATTCTGAAAACTGGGCTCGAGGATGTCACTGCTGTGGCGGCATTCAAGGAAGGCACTGTCCAGTTTGCAGGTCTTCCAGTTCGTTTTGTCAACCCAAAAATTGCCACTGAAAACATTTCTGAGACAGGTTTTGGCCACTGGCTTATCGTTATGTATAGCCAGTATTGCAGTATTCTGTTTACAAATCGGTAAAACAGTGCAGAATACCGATGTCACGTTTGCCGGATTTGACACCACGCGAGTTCCTTTTACGGTGTTACCTGCATAACATTTTTCACTACACCCCAAGCCAATGTTCAGGAGTAGTGGGAGTAGTGAATAATCTCCATCGAGACCCTGAAATGATCAGACAAGCGGTAGGCCTAAGGGACATGTTAGTAAGATGTCAGATGTGCATCGACAGGAATGGTGACCATGTGGAGGGCACAGCACATTAAACTTCTGAGATAAGCAGCGAAAACAAAGCAGATTAGATTGATTGGTTGAGGCACAGTCCTTGTTTCAACAATGTGTTCTTAAAGCAAAGGCATTTGGTATTATGCACACTTGCATGGTTGAGCCTTCTTCATCAAACATGCAAATTTGTCACAGTTCTGATTTCAGTACCCTTAACATCGGTCTAGTTTGTTCACACGTCTGTGTCAATAAAATCACAAGCTGTACACAACTGCGAAGAGGACATTCTGCCTTTTCCAGAGATAAATTTCTCTTTCCCATAAAGTAGTTTTGTCTTTACAGTAATTTTTATCCCGGTGTACTTTTCATGTGGATACCCTGTAACACGTGTAGAAAACGACTACGTGATACTATGCAGAGAAAACGGACCCAAAGAAGCAGTTTGCAGAAGAAGGTAAGTCACTCGTTCTGGTCTGTCACTCGTTCTCGTCAAATGTTGTACGCGACTTTCTAACATACCTCGCAGTGTAATGACGTTGGAGCGAGTTGAATGTTAGTGAACGCTCTTCTGAGGCTGAGCGTCCACAGAATAAAAGTCGAATGACACTAGTCTGCTGGTTTCTCTTTTATATCACAAAAAATTGCAAAGGCTCGCACTTACCAGAAATTGTCCTTCGCAGTTTTCCAGTGTACGATTTCTGCAAGATACTTCGAAAAAAGTTGACAAATTCATAGAGGAAGGACACAGAATCAAAGGTTGTTTGCTGTGGTAAGTTCATAATTACTCAGCACGAAGCATTGCTCATGCTGGGAAATACGGTACGTTGCGTGTGGTAGGTGAATTCCCAGCTCTGGTATTTATAGTACGCAACATAGGGTCGGAGTCAGTGGCAACAGTGTCAAGGAACTTTAGAAACTGAAGTTAAAGAGATTTCATTGCGCTTCAAGTTAGTACAAGTTTTAAACTTATATTCATGTAGTGTAACGATGAGGTCGACTCCGCAACTATCTTACCCCCCCCAAAAAAAAGTGGGGGGGGGGCTTCCAACACAGGGGCGAATCCAGAAATGATCAGGCCTCTCAGTTCGATCGTTGAGGACAGGTGGACACATTATCAGGTAATCAGTACATCGTTACTGAAATCCCATTCACAATTCACGGGGATAGTCCACGAAAGCACGCAAACCACGAATGACTGTGAGCCGTAGTGTGTACCGTTCATGTTCATCTAGTCACTCCCTCTGTATCCATTCTGGATTGCACATGGTCCTAACCTGCAACCTCTGAGGAACACCAACAAAATAATAATGTTTTTGCAGGCATCATAGTTACTTTATCATTACTAATTTATTGATTCATCATTCTGTGATCAGCACTTATATGTAGATTTTTTGTACTGTTAAAATTTAATTAATTAAGCCCGTGAAGAGATTACTGAAAGGGTTACTTTTCGGTTTTTTGCCTTTATAATTACACAGCATGATACACAGAATAACTTTTTTATCAAAGGTCCATACGATGCAATTTTTTTCTACACTGCCCTTGAAAATGCAACATGGTCTTTCAGTCAATCTATCTTCCAAGTTTGTTTTCTAATTTTAAAACGGTATGTTAGCGCCTTTCTGGTTTTTATGCAAAACAAAAGTTCCATATTCAGGAGCAAAACCGTGGAACCCAAGGAATAAAACCTCAAAATTGCATTAAATGCTCTTTCAAAATTTGCTGTCCCAAATTTTATTATCTTTGAGTAAGTACACTTCTCAGTTCACTTAACACCCAATAATTTCCAAATGTTAAAGAAGAGTATAAAACTGCACTTGAACTGTGTCTAAAGTAAGCTTCATCGAAAGGACCCTTTACCTATTTTTCTTTTGTTTTGTTTGTTTTCAGCTTAGAGCACAATCATAAAATTCAGTACCGGTAATTGGTATGGTAAAAACTGCACACTTATATGTCTAACCTAATATTTAAAGCACTTGCTTAACAATTCGGAAAGTGCTTATCGCCACAGGTTAATCACATTTTGTAAAGTTTTGATAGCCACAATAAGACAAAAACCTTTCTTAGCTCTAGTTTTTCATACAAAAAAATCCAACGAGAAGCACTGTGTGTATAGAATATGCCTATTAACATAGCCTTTGCAGACAGATGAATCTTGACAGTGAGCAAGTTCGGTATTCCAACAGCGCATGCCCAAACTGAAGCGCGTCGGAGGTCATTCGGGAACTGCTAGCTGCAGCACGCGCGCTCAATTATCCCCATGCCCTATCCACCGATTTTCATTATCAATGGCCCAATCAGTGCAGGCTGCCTCACACGCACGCTTAGTTCCCGAAAGACCTTGCCTTTTTTTGGAGTACAGAAATGGCTCATAGACCTTTTATGAAGCCTCCACAAAACGACGCACGAATAAAAATCTAGAGAGGTAACTCCTTAATCTGAGAGCAGTTAACTACAGATTCGTGTAGTCGTATATAAACTGTTGAAACCGTCCGAAGTGTGCAGAAGATAGAGGCTGTCGTATCTTTTACGCCCTCAAACTGGCGAACACGGTCTGCCATCTTAAAGTGATATATTCCGGGAAATCCATCTGTTTAAAGAACTACTATATGCAGTGAAAGATTTGCACTGAATCTCCCGCGGCCACGATCAGGTTATCACCTTTTGCAGCAAATGCAATGCCGCGGGGTGATCCGCAGCCCTCAACCACGCATCCGACATGCTTGCCTTGCGGGCTGTAATGGTGGACCTCTCCGCAGGACGAGCCCAACCCGCACACGGCCACGTAGATGCCGCCGTCTCTTCCGCAGCACACCCCAGTGGGCCCCCAGTTACCCATCATGAAAGTGTGGACGGTGTCCACGGAAAAGAGGCGGTTGCCGTGGTAGTCCGCCGCCACCAGCTTCTTCTTGTCCCAGTTGGTGTAGATGAGCCGCTGCCTGCCGATCGTGATATGCTCAGCGGTCATAACTGCGGGAACTCGCCTGACCAGGGACCCGTCGGGGTTGTGGAGGGAGATCTCTGCGACCTTCTCGTAACCCACTGCTATCAGGTTATCGTCGTCCACGGCAAGGCTCATCGGTTTGCTGTTTGGCATCCGACCGGGTGTGAATTGATGGACGAGCTGGTACATGCGTTTCCTGTCGAACATCTTCACAGTGGAACCATCCAGAGCAAGCAGAATGTCCTCTCGGTGGACTTCGACGCAGACTGGATTGGAACAGCTGATGGGCAGTTGCTGCGGGACCACCAACGACTCAGAGTTGGCCACTGGTATTTGAATCAACCTTTTGTGAGCATTGTCAGCCACGACTATCCCATTATCGGAGAACACGGCAACATCGCAGGCCCATCTGAAGCCCGTCTGTGTCGGTCCAAATTTCTGGATTTTTGTCTGGAGGTCCCACTTCCCGTCTTCCGTGGCCACGAATTTCGCGTAGCTCTCAGATTTGGCTCTAGTTTTAAGCCTTGGCTTGACCATTGGTCCGTCTAGCAGTCTCCCGAGGGGGGTCTCTTCCAAGTCGCACGGCTCAAAGTCCAAGAAAGACAACCTGCTGGACGCTGTCTCCGACTGCTTCCCGATCACCACTCTCAGCTCGAGCAAAAGATCCTGCAGTTGGATCAAGAACCTCTGTCTGAGATGCAGAACTGCGTGGCAACTCATCTGAGACATGAGCTTATCCACCTCGTCCAGCTTGTGCCCAGCATCGCTCACTTCCTTTCCGCACGTGGCTGTTGTTCTCTCAAAAGTCTTGACTCTGTCTGCGTAAATCCTCTCCGCCTCTTGCTTGAGTGCCTGCTCCTCCTCCCTGATCTTGGCAACCTCCTTGTCGGCCCTCTCCGAGATTTTAGTTTTGGTAGCATCAAACATGGTGTCCAGTTTCTTGCGGGACTTCAACGTCTCACCTGTGGCCATGCTCATTAATTCTGCCATGTTCTCTTTAACTTTCACACCTAATTCTGCTATCTCTCTCTTGCACTTGTCCAAGGCCTCGGGTAGTCCAATTAGAGGATGCCCTTCGTGATGTAAGTCAGAGCAGATTTTACAGACCAGATGTCCGCATGTGTCGCAGTAGAAGCGGAGGCCTTGCTCCGGATGCTTCCCACATTTTGGCGCGTCTGTCAGCTTCATGCTGTCGGCGTTGGCCTGTCCAGCTCGAATTTGAGCCAGCGTATAGATTTTGTGGTTCTTCATCACGGACAGGCGTTCGTGTGCTCTTTGACATTCCTGACAGAGGAAATGATCACAGTCCATACATTTCGAGACGGCCTGGATCCTCTCATCGCAGGCTTGACACGTAAACCCTTCTCCTGGCAGGGGCCGATCCTGTAGCGAGAATCCATCCAGGGCACGCAATATGAGATCATCGGGTAAATCTCTGACCTCGTCCTCGTCGGCTGCCTCGGTTTCTCGCCCGCACGTTCGACAGATGAGATTGCCTATTCGTGGATCTTGGCGCTGCCTGAGTTCCAATAAGCATCCCAGGCAGAAACTATGTAAACAGTTGAGAACTTTTGGTTGCCTGGAACTGTGACTGCACATGGAACACTCTCGGATCTTGGCCAACACCGACTCAGCTGAGACACTGAATGCCATCATAAGGTCTGCTTATCCCTATCACCAACTTGTTCCTGAATCGAACAAAAGGGGTGAAAGAAATATGACTCATACAACCACAGCCTGAGTGAGCAGTACTTTCAAAGAAACTTTTTTTTTTTGCATACACAAAGAACAGAATATTAGCGGGTTCTTTTCCTTATTTGGTGCAAAATTTCCTGTGCTGGACTCTCAAGCTCATTTATAAGCCACAACAATTAAAACAGCTATACGTATGCAAATTATTTCCAAGATTATACAAGAACGTTTGGTTATCAGAGTGAAAAATGAGCTTACCGAGCGACTGAGAAGAGAGTTTCGATAGAACGTCTACGACATGAAAGTAACAGTCTGGTCTTACAGAGTAATGTTGCCAAATGCTTGCCTGCGGTGCCACAAAAAGGTAGCAGACGGGACTTTCCTAGTCTCATTTTTAGGCTGAATAGATCATGTGATCTTTAACCAGCCCCTCGTGAAGTTTGCGAAAGCATAAAAGCCAATGTCAAGAGTGTATCAGCAACCGCGATAACTGC